AAACAAAGGAGGAGGCTACAATGCTGGATAAAAAATGTACTCACTATCTTGCCCATGTAATTGTAACCCCTCTGTACAGCATTTTCATAATAAAAAAAAAAAAGAACAATGAGAGAGCAGGAAGAGAGCAGAAGGTGAGGAAGTCATGAGTGGGAACAAAGGAAGTCTCCAGGACACTGGGGTGGCCAGAGCTGCTTTCAGATGAAGGCAATCTGGCTGTGGAAGAGAGAACCACTCTATCCCTACAATCTCTGGATAGGCTACATGGTATCTATGACTTCTATGCCCTTGAGCTGTCTATGTGTCTGTCTACTTCCTTAGAACTAGGACTAGGACTAGGAGAAATTTGGCTAGGCCTGAAACTCCACATGACTAACTGCTGCACCCACCTACCTCACAAAGGGCATAAACGATATGCTTATTACCCACAGTAATAACCTAACATGAACTTTTAAGAACAGGGCTGCTCTATGAGGTGGCACGGGCTTGACAGAAAAGACAAATTGTCATCTGGAGAAGCCATGGGGAGAAGGTAGTGGAGTTCAGGCAGGAAGCATGTCTTGCCTTGCCTTCTTAGCTGTGCTATGCAATGAGGTCATGTCTGAGACCCTCAGGGCCAAGTGCTAGTGGCTCACACCTATAATCCTAAAGTACTCAGGAAGCTGAGATCTGAGTATCATGGTTCAAAGCTAGCCTGGGCAGGAAACTCCATGAGACTCTTCTTTCCTATTAATCACCAAAAAAAGTCAGAGGTATAGGGCTGGGAATGTGGTTTACTGGTAAAGTGCCTGCCTAGATTACAAGAAGCCATGGGTTCGATTCCTCAGTACCACATTCACAGAAAAAGCATGAAGTGGCTCTGTGGCTCAAGTGGTAGAGTGCTAGCCTTGAGCAAAGAGAAGCTCAGAGACAGTGCCCAGGCCCTGAGTTGAAGCCCCAGGACCAGCAAAAAAAGACATTCCAGCCAATCACTCCAGAGCTTTTGATACCTATTAACAATTGTGGCAATGAGAGTTGGCTCTAAACACAAGCCTTTGCTTCATATGAAATGTATCTCTTTCAGGGTAAATCACCAGCCTGCACTTGTCATGTCAGGTCTTGTTGGCAATTAAGAAGGTGACAACTCCTGAAAGGACCACATCACCTGTAGGTGAGTCCAGACTTGTACTATTTTAAGATCTGTGTTTACTCTATTTCAAATCTCGGAAAGAGGAATCAGCACAAGAACATATATCAAGACTTGGGCTCATCAAACTGAATCACATTCATGAGTCAACTTGTTTATAAATAAAATTACCGGTCCATCATCTGTGTGTAGCAAGTATGTTAGTTTCTACACAGTAACTCTCAGAAGATGCTATGGAAATGCACATTAATTCTCCTAAGGCCTTAGGGTATTTCCTTGGTTTGCCTTTTGTTTTTGAAGTGCATGTTCCTGACATAATCCTCATTATGCAGGGCCTCTCACATGTCGATACATGTTCTACCATTGAGCTACACTGTCAGCCCTGTCCATCTGTGTGTGTGTGTTTTGTCAGTTGTGGGACTTGAACTCTGGGCCTGGGTGCTGTCCCTCAGCTCTTCAGCTCAAGGTGAGTGCTCTACCATTTGGGCCACTTACAGTTTTCTGGTGGTTAATTAGAGGTAAGAGTTTCATGAACTACTTTCCTACCTTTCAAAGCTGGCTTTGAACTGCAATCCTCAGATCTCAGACTCCTGAGTAGCTAGGATTACAGGCGAGAGCCACCAGCTCCCGGCTCATCTGTGTCTTAAGAAAAGGAAAGCAGACTACATTTTTAGATCCTTCAGGAACAGATATCTCTAGTATACCACATGTAAAGGCACAGCCCAGGGACTTGAGTTCACACCTACCCTCTGATACCTTACAGCTGTGTAACCTTTACCAAATCCTCTTCCTCCTGTAAGCATATATTTCTTCATCTGAGAAATGAGGCTAAAGGGGTTAAAAGGATGTAATGGCACATCCCAGCACCATTTCTGTTGTCACAGCTACAGTTTTCAGAAATACCATAGGTGCCTCTGGCAGAAAATGAGATGATGTATATAGATTTCATGCAGATTCAATATTAATTATCTTTAGTGCTTTATATTCTTTTGGGAGGGTTGGTCATAGGGCTTGAACTTGGGGTCTAGGCTCTGTCCCTGAGCTCTTCTGCTCAAGGCTAGTGCTCTACTATTTTGAGCACAATTTCCAGTTTTCTGGTGGATAATTGGAGATAACATTCTAACACATTTTTCTACCTAAGCCTAGGCTTTGAATCATGATCCTCAGACCTTAGCCTCCTGAGTAGCTAGGATTACATGTGTGAGCTGCCAGCACCTGTTTAATGTATTCTCTTTTTTTTTGGTTGTGAGGCTTGAACTATGAGTCTGGGTACTGTCACTCAGCTCTTCAGCTCAAGGCTAGAGCTCTACCACTTGAGCCACAGACCCACTTCCGGTTTTCTGGTGGTTTATTGGAGATAGAAGTCCCATAGACTTTCCTGCCTGGGATGGCTTTGAAGGGCAATCCTCAGATCTCAGCCTTCTGAGTAGCTAGAATTATAGGTGTGAGCCACTGGCGCTGGCTAATGTATTTTTTAAA